GGGCCAAATACTTGTGAATTTTCCTCTCACTTTTAGCATTCAAACTTTCGTGAATATTTCCTTACTCCTTTATCAGGAAATTAAAAAAAAATTGTTATCTTATGACCTTACACCAACATGTTTAAAAGAAAACACTTTATTATGTTAAAAATTACTTCCGAGATATGTTAACACTACCGAGGGTGAGGGTTACTCCCTCTATGCTATGTAACTCCCTGTACTATCACTATAACACAGTTAAAAATTTCGATATACTACTTGCAAAAATTACGTCCTTATTTCTTAAAGAAAAATCTTTTATCCTCGACAAAAATGCAAATAATAATTTTAGAAATATATGTCGTTGATTTTTTAGATGAATTAAAACTCAATTTTGTCTGTAAAAAGAAAAGTACCGCGTAGTTTTTCATCAACAGTGTCACACGATCAACCAAGTGGTAAATGATAAACTAATGGTTATTTAAGGAGCCAAGAATATTGGAATTACCGCTCATTTAGAAAGAACTCCAATCATTGGTATGTGTGGACATGGAAACATCCTCTCATATAGTCTTTCTAAACTTCTGTTGATAACCTGTAAAAAAATTGAAAACTATTTAAAAAAAATAAAAATGTTTATTTTTTTTCTCTTTTTTGCATTAGAAATTAAAAATAATTTTTTAAAATCCATTTATTTATTATTCTATAAAAGTATCTTCCGTCCAATAAGTCAATCGGTAAAAGAGTAAAATATCACAATAAATTAAAAAAAAATCAATCCAATTCTTGAAACCAGTGCGACGGTGATTGCTGGTTGTTGCAACAACATGCGATTTGTTGTTGTTGCAGTCGGTATGAAGAAACCTTAAGATCTGTATTACGGACCCGATTGCGCATCGTATCAGTGCGAGGACTGAATCTAGCACGAGGCAAATGTCTCAGGCCGTTTATGTTTCCCGCAATACGTTGTGGCGAATACTACGAGATCAAGGAATACATCTCTACCAAGCGCAGAGAGTTCAGGGCCTAGAAGCGTTGGATTATCAGGCACTTATCAATTTTACCACGTGGTTTCTCCAGCAGATGTCTGTGGACCCAAGTCGCTGTGCACAAGTATTGTTCATTGAGGAATGGACATTTACATGCTATGGTATTTCAAATATCTACAACTATCATGATTGGGCAACTGAGAGCCTGCACATATTGCGTCCAAGTTTGTTCCAACAATGTTTTCAGGCTAAATGTTTGGCGGAATGGTGTACGATCATCTGATTGGGCCATACCTACTGCAAACACGCCTGGAGAGAGATTCATACCTTGTGTATTTTCGAGAGGTGTTAGCAGAACTATTTACTTGCTTTCAATTACAAATCAAACAACGCATGTGGTTTCAATACGACGGGACTCCTGATTATATTGTAGATGTGCGTAACGCCTTAGATATCATGTATTGGAGATGACGAATAGGTCGTGGTGGTCCAATCAACTGGTTGATACCTGATTTGTCATTTGCGCACTTTTTTTTCTAGCGTCATAAGAAGTGAGCCTCATCTACGACGATGGTCCCATGGATTTTGTTGAAGTTCTTGTTTCCTCTGATATCAGTAGCTGCTGACACCACAAGAGAAATGCATACCCAAGTCTAAATTCTTGATGGTTCCATCAAATTTTTTTGATGGCTTATGTTGGTTTCAGTGCGACTCATGATGGTTACCATCATCCAATATTTTTTATTATGTGTTCATGGTTTTTGATATGCCCACAAGCTTTCATCAATCCATGATGAAAAAATGCTACTTAAATTTATGATGGTGAACCATCAAGAGAAGTTTTATTCTCATGAAACAACAATCCAAGATGATCCTCGATGGTTCCAACTGTACATTTCCATAATGGGAATTCTTGTTGGTTCTCAGGAATCAAACCAATTTGTGTTTTTTTTATATTGGACCATCAAAAATTAATCTGAATCCCTACATTGGGATGATAGTGGTCGCTCTAGCATTTGATTTCTAAGATACTATGATGGAAATTCGTGCTGGTTCAACCTGAACAAACGATCCAAACAAGTTGTTATTCTTATGTTGGATCATCATAAATCAGTCACATTGAGGTTACTTATGTTAGTTACTATAAAAAGTATAATGTTTCATGATGGAATTATTGATCATCAACACAAAGGCAATGCCAGTGCATCAATGGAAAACTATCAAAAATTTTGACTTAGGTGGTGTTTTCGCTAATCCCTGCGTTAATGTTGTCGGTTGCAAGTTGGAGCAGTTCTCGTGATGGGGGTCTTACCGTTTAATTTCATTTTGTTAAAAATACTTTTCTTCATTTTATAGGTTTTATACCATTCCAGTCTCTGCCTATCTTGTTTCCCATCCTTTCGTGACACAACATGTTTCGTTCTCTAGCGATTTGCCATCAAGGATTGTAGGGTGATTCGCGTTTGCATAATTGTGTTCCATCACCTTCTAACCTATAAACCTTACATTGTATATACATGCGTAATATAAAGATGTAGATGTGCGTAACGCCTTAGATATCATCATGTATTGGAGATGACGAGTAGGTCGTGGTGGTCCAATCAACTGGTTGATACCTGATTTGTCATTTGCGCACTTTTTTTTCTAGCGTCATAAGAAGTGAGCCTCATCTACGACGATGGTCCCATGGATTTTGTTGAAGTCTTTGTTTCCTCTGATATCAGTAGCTGCTGACACCACAAGAGAAATGCATACCCAAGTCTAAATTCTTGATGGTTCTATGAAATTTTTTTGATGGTTTAAGTTGGTTTCAGTGCGACTCATGATGGTTACCATCATCCAATATTTTTTATTATGTGTTCATGGTTTTTGATATGCCCACAAGCTTCCATCAATCCATGATGAAAAAATGCTACTTAAATTTATGATGGTGAACCATCAAGAGAAGTTTTATTCTCATGAAACAACAATCCATGATGATCCTCGATGGTTCCAACTGTACATTTCCATAATGGTTTGATTGGAATTCTTGTTGGTTCTCAGGAATCAAACCAATTTGTGTTTTTGTAATATTGGACCATCATAAATTAATCTGAATTCCTACATTGGGATGATAGTGGTTCATGATCGCTCTAGCAATTGATTTCTAAGATACTGTGATGGAAATTCGTGCTGGTTCAACCTGAACAAACGATCCAAACAAGTTGTTATTCTTATGTTGGATCATCATAAATCAGTCACATTGAGGTGATGGTTACTTATGTTAGTTACTATAAAAAGTATAATGTTTCATGATGGAATTATTGATCATCAACACAAAGGCAATGTTAGTGTCACATCAACACAAAGGCAATGTAATCAATGGAAAACTATCAAAAATTTTGACTTAGGTGGTGTTTTCGCTAATCCCTGCGTTAATGTTGTCGGTTGCAAGTTAGAGCAGTTCTCGTGATGGGGGTCTTACCGTTTAATTTCATTTTGTTAAAAATACTTTTCTTTATTTTATAGGTTTTTTACCATTCCAGTCTCTGCCTACCTTGTTTCCCATCCTTTCGTGACACAACATGTTTCGTTCTCTAGCGATTTACGATCAAGGATTGTAGGCTGATTCGTGTTTGTATAGTTGTGTTCTATCACCTTCTAACCTATAACCCTCACATTGTATATACATGCGTAATATAAAAAAAAATAATCTGTCTTTTCACACCGACTCCCTGGAAAGCAATGTTTATTTTCGGTTGCTTTTTGGTTATTTCAATGCAGTTTAAGAAATTTCAGCATTTTGAATATGATGTTATGATACGCGAGTTTTGAATTATCACTTTTTTCACACACTCAAAGCGCGACAGTTTCATTGAAAAACCCACTTTTTTTTGTATCTATTTTTGGTCATTTTCAAAAATAGGTACAAAAAATAGGTTCAAGGTCAAAATATCACATTTAATAAATCACTTTTTTTTTTNTTCAACCTGAACAAACGATCCAAACAAGTTGTTATTCTTATGTTGGATCATCATAAATCAGTCACATTGAGGTGATGGTTACTTATGTTAGTTACTATAAAAAGTATAATGTTTCATGATGGAATTATTGATCATCAACACAAAGGCAATGTTAGTGCATCAATGGAAAACTATCAAAAATTTTGACTTAGGTGGTGTTTTCGCTAATCCCTGCGTTAATGTCGTCGGTTGCAAGTTAGAGCAGTTCTCGTGATGGGGGTCTTACCGTTTAATTTCATTTTGTTAAAAATACTTTTCTTTATTTTATAGGTTTTTTACCATTCCAGTCTCTGCCTACCTTGTTTCCCATCCTTTCGTGACACAACATGTTTCGTTCTCTCGCGATTTACGATCAAGGATTGTAGGGTGATTCGTGTTTGTATAGTTGTGTTCTATCACCTTCTTACCTATAACCCTCACATTGTATACACATGCGTAATATAAAAAAATAATCGGACTTTTCACACCGACCCCTGGAAAGCAATGTTTATTTTTGGTTGCTTTTTGGTTATTTCAATGCAGTTTAAGAAATTTCAGCATTTTGAATATGATGTTATGATACGCGAGTTTTGAATTATCACTTTTTTCACACACTCAAAGCGTGACAGTTTCATTGAAAAACCCACTTTTTTTGTATATATTTTTGGTCATTTTCAAAAATAGGTACAAAAAATAGGTTCAAGGTCAAAATATCACATTTAATAAATCACTTTTTTTTTTACCCACAATGCACCGATTTCATCCTCGACGCTTTCATATTTCCTTAGCAGCACATCTTGATTGTTTTTGTCCATTCTGTTTCGTTTCATTTCCGATATTTTGATGTATGATTGGATATTATTACGAGACGCAATTTGGAATTTGAGTGTTTGCTTTTTCCGCCATTTCCAGATAATTTTTCGAAATTTGATATTTATATATAAATTTGATAAATTAAGGGGCAAATTATTAATTTGGCAACAGTTTTTCTTAAATAAATATTTTTATAAAGTTGCAATTTTTTTTAAAAATTGTCACTTTTGAGCTAGTTTTTTTAAAAAAAATAATAGCTATAATCAAAAATAATAGCTATAGTCGCCTTACCTCGCATTTAGTAGTAAATAGTCCTATTTTAGTTGCTATCAGTGGCTTTATCTTCCCTCTTACGAAACTAAAGGCCAAAACCTGGAATAGCAAAGGAAATAGTTAGAAATCAAATATTGTAATAAGTATTTCAAAGCGCGCAATTTTAGAAATTCCCTAAAGAAATTGAGAAAGAGGATAACTTGAAAGAGATATAGATTAAGTTCTCACTATATTTTGATTAGAATTTTCGATTTTTGTCTGACAGGCTAACAAAAATTGGGCGGGTTAACGATTTCCTATAAAAGTCTAGCGTCAGCAGGGAAAATTCTAATTCTTAGTTTTTTGATTAAAAATAAGTTTAAACTATTTCCATTTTTTTGCGGTATGGAATAACTATGAAGAAACAAAGAGCAATTGTTTAGATGAAAATTTTAATAGTGTTTTCCAGGTAAAAAAATTAAGCTTAAACTTTATTTGGCCATAATTACTTTTTGGTGGAAAAGTTAACGACTTTTTTTTTGGGGGGGGGACAAAATTCAGACAAGTCTTTTTACTTGCTTTGTAGCCTATCTTGGTGGATGTTTCAAAGCAGGATTAAAATTTTAAAATTTTTATTAAAATTTTTTTTATGGGTTATGGTTTAGAGGGTCGAATTCGAGCTTGTTTGCAGGTTATAAAGTAGCTAATATTTGTCTTAATCNAAAAAATTTTTTATGGGTTAAGGTTTAGAGGGTCGAATTCGAGCTTGTTTGCAGTTTATAAAGTAGCTAATATTTGTCTAAATCATTATTTTTTAGAAGGTGGGATAACGATTTCCGAGCATGGATTAACAGCGGTAGAATGAAAATGTTTCGTTTTTTGGTAATATTTCAGACAACTTGCGTCGTTGTAAAGTTTAAGTGGGCTCAAGATTTTCTTAATTGGGTGTATAATACTTTGATGGGTTAACGATATCCTATACTAAGTTTAACATTTTGCGGCATAATTCATTCGTGATTTCTGGGTCAAAAATGAGCTAAAACTGATTTTGGATATAAAACTTTTTAGCGGTCAGGCAAACGGTATTTTTTAATGGGATAACGTGCTTTTACGATTTACTATAAAATGGACTGATCTTTTGACCAAACTGACCTTTTGGCCAAAATCGAAACCTGTGGTTTCTAGGTCAAAGCCCCTTCCCCCTCTTTCCCGTCAAAATCATGGGGTGAGCTTTCGTCTCCCATTTCTCGTGCCCGTGATACTTCCGGGATAGAGCGTTCAAAAGTAAAGCACCAAAAAGGTTTAAACATATCCGTCTGTTGTGCCCGAATTTTTTTAAATTCTTTTATTACACACAAGATGGCTGCACCAGATTATCTTCAATGTAACAGCTTATTTTAAACGTGATTTCAGCACTAACCATATATATGTATTTCGTTCACTTAGCTCCTGCATTTGATTGATTAAAAAAGGAAAACACGTAAAAAGATGACATACAGGATTGTGTAGATTTTCTTTTGCTGTTAGGTATAGTTTCAGATGCCATATGTAATATGTTCTCTGGTTTATTTGATCAAAAGTTCTCTAGAACTTGCTACAACCGTAACTTTTTTCTAAGGGTTAACTGAGGAAATAGTTTAGCTGGATAAAGATTTTCCTCGGTGTGCTTACATATCGCAGAATGATTTCAAATGTTGCTTCAAATCAAAATTTTTAATTCTCAAGCATATTCCATTTATCTGAAGTTGGATACAGAATGTTTTTTGGTGGAAAAGTTAACGATTTTTTTTTGGGGGGGGAACAAAATTAAGACAAGTCTTTTTACTTGCTTTGTAGCCTATCTTGGTGGATGTTTCAACGCAGGATTAAAATTTTTTTTATGGGTTAAGGTTTAGAGGGTCGAATTCGAGCTTGTTTGCAGGTCATAAAGTAGCTAATATTTGTCTTAATCATTATTTTTTAGAAGGTGGGGTAACGATTTCCGAGCATGGATTAACCATGGTAGAATGGAAATGTTTCGTTTCTTGGTAAAATTTCAGTCAACTTTCTTCGTTGTAATGTTTAAGTGGGCTAAAGATTTTCCTAATTGGGTGTATAATTCGGCACTGGTTTAATATTTTAAATAAAAAAAACATGCTTAGATTAATCAAATGTGTACAAAATGCTAGTTTGGCCATTATTGTTTTTCAATAGGTTATCATCTACCGTGGAAATTTACTGTCTTAATATTGACTAAACTTTAAAGGCAACGTTAAAAGTTTCAGTTTTTAATCAATAATTAGCTAAAACTTATTTTAGTTTTGAAAAGTTTTGGTGATCGAAAGTGAGCTCACGATTTCCTACAATAGCCTAACGTTTTGAGACACAAACTCTAACTTCTGATTTTTGTTGTTGTTGTTGAAAACCAGTTTTTGACGTAGCTTTCTTTTTTTTTTGGGGGGGGGGAGGGTTGGCTGAGAAAAACTCTTTAGTGGGTAAACATGAGAGGCTCAATAGGTTAATAATTGTAAATTAAATTTGTAAATGTGGTTGAAAAATTAGCTGTGTTAATTCGGTGACGAAACACTTTTGTGCACAAACATGGGATTACGGAATGGTACAACGAGGAGAAAATTTAGCTTTCTTTCAAAGTGTCATATTTTTTTTAAAGAAACTAAAAGCTATTTTGGCTCTAATTTTTATATTTTTTATTTTTATTTTTAAAGCGATTTTATACAACGGGCTAACGTTTTAGGGCATAACTCAAATTTGTGGCGTCGTGGGCAGAAATTCTGTAAGATTTTTTTAGGCATACTATTTTTTGGCGAATGGGCCAAATTAAAATTTTTGGAGAAACGGTTTGATGGGTTAACGATATCCTATACTAAGCTTAACATTTTGAGGCATAATTCATTCGTGATTTCTGGGTCAAAAATGAGCTAAAACTGATTTTGGATATAAAACTTTTTAGCGGTTAGGCAAACGGTATTTTTAATGGGATAACGTGCGTTTACGATTTACTATAAAATGGACTGATCTTTAGACCAAACTGACCTTTTGACCAAAATCCAAACTTGTGGTTTCTAGGTCAAAGCCCCTTCCCCCTCTTTCCCTTCAAAATCAAAGGGTGAGCTTTCGTCTCCCATTTCTCGTGCCCGTGATACTTCCGGGATAGAGCGTTCAAAAGTAAAGCACCAAAAAGGTTTAAACATATCCGTCTGTGGTGCCCGAATTTTTTTAAATTCTTCTATTACACACAAGATGGCTGCACCAGATTATCTTCAATGTAACAGCTTATTTTAAACGTGATTTCAGCACTAACCATATATATGTATTTCGTTCACTTAGCTCCTGCATCTGATTGATTAAAAAAGGAAAACACGTAAAAATATGACATACAGGATTGTGTAGATTTTCTTTTGCTGTTAGGTATAGTTCCAGAGTGTAATATGTTCTCTGGTTTATTTGATCAAAAGTTCTCTAGAACTTGCTACAACCGTAACTTTTTTTCTAAGGGTTAACTGAGGAAAAAGTGATTAAAAGATAAATTAGTGAAGGGTCCGATTTTATGAAACAATATTTTGTGAAGGGTCCGTTTTTATGAAACGATATTTTGTTCAAAATCAAAATTTTTAATTCTCAAACATAATCCATTTATCTGAAGTTGGATACAGAATGTTTTGCCGTAACTTTTTGGCATTTGTAACAACAAAAATTGTTAGGCTAACGATTTCCTATTAACTGTAATGTTTGGAGAAAAATTTAAACACGTGGTTGTTTGGTCGAAAATGAGTGAAAACCTTTGATGACCTTCTCTTTTTGTTAGATATAGTCAAAACGGTTTGATTTTGAGTTCAAATTCAAACTTTTATCTTTTTAAATCATAAAGCGGTCAAAACATGTACAGACCGAAATTTTTGTAGCGTGTGCTAACAATTTCTCTCGTGTGTTTTCTAGAATTTAGCTAAAACTTGTTTTGACTATAACCATTATTTTGAACGATGGCCAACAAAAAGCTGATGAAGCAAATGATCCACCAACGTTCATTTTCGTTTCCTTTAAAGATTTTATAAAATATTTTTGCAACACATTTTAAGACGAACTTTATATCAAATTAACATAATACCTTAAAAAATCAGCCGAGACTATGTAATCTCAATTTTTATAAGTTGCGCGTAATATAAATTTTTAGAGCATAGAAAAGTTGCTTTTTAAAAATTCTCATAATACTTTATTTCAGCCGTGATGGCTTAGGGGATTGAGCGATCGCCTTCCAATGAGGTAAATCGGGTTCGAATCCCAGCGACAGCTGGTCGATACGAACTCCGCATCCGGCTTGCGCAGACCGGTTAGTTTGCACCGATATTTTATGCCGCAGGTCTGGCGTAAATTATCTTCGGTGGTAGTCGGATCATGGGTTAGAGTCCCCTTGCCGTCAAGCTAACCGTGGGAGCTTTTCGTGTTTTCCCTCCCCATGTAACGTACATGCGAGTTAGTTCCATCAANCCGGCTTGCGCAGACCGGTTAGTTTGCACCGATATTTTATGCCGCAGTGCTGGCGTAAATTATCTTCGGTGGTAGTCGGATCATGGGTTACAGTCCCCTTGCCGTCAAGCTAACCCTGGGAGCTTTTCGTGTTTTTCCTCCCCATGTAACGTACATGCGAGTTAGTTCCATCAAAAAGACCTCCATGATGGCAAATTTCTCCCAATACTTGATCCAGGAGTTCCTTTGTCTTCTGGATTGTGTTCAAAATTACAAGGCTACGAAGCTGAGCATTAGTAGACGTAAAGTGAAAATTAGGTCTGCTGTTCAAAGAAGGTTATAAAGTGAAATAAAAAATATTGCTAAGGGATCGATTATTCTGAAATTAAATCGCTATATGGTATTTGATATAAATTTCATTAAAGAAATATAAATGTTATATCCCCTTGCAGTCAGGCTAACCGTGAGAGTTTTTCTTGGATTTCCTCTCAATGTAACGCAAATGCTGGTTAGTTTCACCAAAAAAGTCCTCCAAGATAGTACATTTTCTCCCAATATAATTCAATATTTGTATTTATACTTTGCAAGTGATATTTACATTGGGCAACAAATTGATTTATTTAATAAATTAGACTTAAATGTACACGCATGGTTTTATTATTAGCCCCAAATTTTTGTACTTATTTTCTATTTTAAAAATTAAACGTAATTTTTATGATTGCCTATCAAAAATGCATTTTTTTTGCATTAAACAAATAATTTCAGGAAACTAAATTATTAAGCTATTATCCGATTAAAACTTTGTTCGCTTGAAAAAATATTCAAACAAGAAATAACAGTATACATGTTTCAAGCGCTCAAAGACAAGCACCCATTTTCAGGACTCCAGCAAATTAAATTGGTAGTAACAGGCATTGACAAATTTAAATCTTTGATCAAAACAGGTGAAGATTTCAGAATTAATAAAACAAAAGAATTATTATCTTACCTGTATTTTGTTGTACTACGTTATACAGCTCAACTGACACCATAACTGTTTCCTATAAAAAAATAGTTGCTTTTATAAAATAATAGTTCAAAAAAAATTGAAGTGCTCAAATCAAATCTATATAAAGGAATTTTTATATCATTTGCACATGGTATTAAAAACTCAATTATTTTCAATACACTACGACATTCAGGAACGAACTTAGGGTCTTAACGGCCCTCAATTAACTTCTTAACTCTTCCCTATTAGAGAAATATTTACGTCAGTAGAACCATATTTTAAAAAAAGCAGTCTAAATTGTTGATCTCCAGATTTAAATCCCTGTGATTTCTTATGAGATTAAATCAAAGTATTTATTATTTAGCAGGATTACGATGAAAAACCACATCCACTACCATTTATAGCGATATATTGTAGCAAGTGTGGGAAGAATTCGAATTCTGCCGCATCACCAAAGATTCGCAAATTGAACGTTTTTTAAAAAAAGTCTATTTATCAAGTAAAATTTCACGATAAGCCTTTCAAACACAGAATGGATTTGTTTCTCACCTTGCATATCACCTTACCATTTAATTTATGTGTTATTTCTATTATTCGAGACAACTTTGTCTCGATTAATAAAAGTAGCACATAAATTAAAAAAATTACATGAAAAGTAATAATAGGGTCCATTATTTCAAAAGTGTGTCAAGCGCTGACCAGTTTGAGCTTGGTATAAAAGATTCCCATCGTATGTTCGTTAATCTTGATTATGTTCATTTATATACAGATGTCCCAAAACTCATGGTACTTACGTTAGGAGAGGATAGAACGGAACTAAACAGAACAGAACTGTAAATCCTAGCAGAATATATGGTTCGAACGTAAGTCGCAACTCACTAGAGCGAGCCTCCCAGCGATCCATAAGAAGGCTGTTCACAGTACTGTCATGCCGTCAAAAAAAATCAAACTTAGAATTTTATGCATTTGGAATCAATGTATGGTTATTAAGCAGAACCTTGCCATTATTATCATTACGGGAAACGTAAATGAGCTGAGATATTTCCCGCGTGCAAGATTCAGCTCTCGCGTTGATACGATGCACAATTTCGTCACCGTTACAGATGGCGTTCTTAGATACCTGCCACGTCCAGTATCCTGCATGTAACTTTAAAAAACCTCTAGCCGAGTTGTTGGGGTCTTAGTTAAAATATCCTTGCAACAGGAACTACATAACATAGTAAACTTCTTATCGCGAGAACAATAGATATCAGTTTTTTGGCATTCTATTTTAGCTTTTATAGCATTGAAAATAGAAAAAAACAGTTGTCTATCCACTTTTCTCCGAATCAATCGTTGTATTTTTCAATTGCTCGGCAAAGAGCCGTCGTGGCTCGGGGGGATAGAGCTTTTCAATGATGTGAACCGGGTTCGAATCCCAGCAGTGGCTGATAGATATCAAATCCTCATCCGCGTTGCACATACCACAGTATTGACTTGAAACTCCTCAGTGATAAACGGATCACGGGTTAGAGTCCCTTTGCCATCATGCTAACTGTGGGAGGTTTTCGTGGTTTTCCACTTCATGTAACGCAAATGCGGGTTAGTTTCATCAAAAAGCCGTCCACGAAGACACATTTCTGCCAATACTTGCTCCGGGAAATCCCTTATCTTCTGGATTGAATTCAAAATTAAAAGGCTACTGAATTGAACATTAGTAGTCGTGAACCCAAAAATTGGGTTGGCTGTTCAATGTCGGTTATAAAATTACATGACAGAGTAACTATTTTTAATTGCTCTGTGGATCTCCGATCAGATGAATGCTGACTCGAATTAGGAGAAGGCAGATATTACATGTACGTAACTGCAGACGACATTGCAAGAGAAGCTTCCGCATCACCAAAGATTCACAAATTAAACGTTTCTTAAAAAAAGTCTATTTATCAAGTAAAATTTGTTGATAAGCCTTTCAAACACAGGATGGATTTGTTTCTCACCTTGCATATCACCTTACCATTTAATTTATGTGTTATTTCTATTATTCGAGACAACTTTGTCTCGATTAATAGTACATAAATTAAAAAAAATTACATAAAAAGTAATAATAGGGTTCATTATTTGAAAAGTGTGTCAAGCGCTGACCAGTTTGAGCTTGGTATAAAAGATTCCCATCGTATGTTCGTTAATCTTGATTATGTTCCTTTATATACAGATGTCTCAAAACTCATGGTACTTACGTTAGGAGAGGATAGAACAGAACTAAACAGAACAGTAAATCCTAGTAGAATATATGGTTCGAACGTAAGTCGCAACTCACTAGAGCGAGCCTCCCAGCGATCTATAAGAAGGCTGATCACAGTACTGTCATGCAGTCAAAAAAAATCAAACTTAGAATTTTATGCATTTGGAATCAATGTATGGTTATTAAGCAGAACCTTGCCATTATTATCATTACGGGAAACGTAAATGAGCTGAGATATTTCCCGCGTGCAAGATTCAGTTCTCGTGTTGATACGATGCACAATTTCGTCACCGTTACAGATGGCGTTCTTAGATACCTGCCACGTCCAGTATCCTGCATGTAACTTTAAAAAACCTCTAGCCGAGTTGTTGGGGGTCTTCGTTAAAATATCCTTGCAACAGGAACTACATAACATAGTAAACTTCTTATCACCAGAACAATATATATCAGTTTTTTGGCATTCTATTTTAGCTTTCATAGCATTGAAAAAAGAAAAAAACAGTTGTCTATCCACTTTTCTCGGAATCAATCATTGTATTTTCAATTGCTCGGGGATAGAGCGTTCGCTTTTCAATGATGTGAGCCGGGTTTGAATCCCAGCAGTGGCTGATAGATATCAAATCCTCATCCGCGTTGCACAGACCACAGTATTGACTTAAAAAATCCTCAGTGATAAACGGATCACGGGTTAGAGTCCCTTTGCCATCACGCGAACTGTGGGAGGTTTTCGTGGTTTTCCACTTCATGTAACGCAAATGCGGGTTAGTTTCATCAAAAAGCCGTCCACGNACTTAAAAAATCCTCAGTGATAAACGGATCACGGGTTAGAGTCCCTTTGCCCTCACGCTAACTGTGGGAGGTTTTCGTGGTTTTCCACTTCATGTAACGCAAATGCGGGTTAGTTTCATCAAAAAGCCGTCCACGAAGACACATTTCTGCCAATACTTGCTCCGGAAAATCCCTTATCTTCTGGATTGAATTCAAAATTAAAAGGCTACTGAGTTGAACATTAGTAGTCGTGAACCCAAAAATTGGGTTGGCTGTTCAATGTCGGTTATAAAATTGCATGACAGAGTAACTGTTTTTAATTGCTCTGTGGATCTCCGATCAGATGATCCGATCCGATCAGATCGAATTAGGAGAAGGCAGATATTACATGTACTTAACTGCAGACGACATTGCAAGAGAAGCTCTAAGATCTGTAACGGACCCGATTGTGCATCGTATCAGTGCGAGGACTGAATCTAGCACGAAGCAAATGTCTCAGGCCGTTTATGTTTCCCTCGAGGACTGAATCTAGCACGAGGCAAATGACTCAGGCCGTTTATGTTTCCCGCAATACGTTGTGGCGAATACTACGAGATCAAGGAATACATCTCTACCATGCGCAGAGAGTTCAGGGCCTAGAACCGTTGGATTATCAGGCACTTATCAATTTTACCACGTGGTTTCTCCAGCAGATGTCTGTGGACCCAAGTCGCTGTGCACAAGTATTGTTCCCTGAGGAATGGACATTTACATGCTATGGTATTTCAAATATCTACAGCTATCATGATTGGGCAATTGAGAGCCGCACATATTGCGTCCAAGTTTGTTCCAACAATGTTTTCAGGCTAAATGTTTGGCGGAATGGTGTACGATCATCTGATTGGGCCGTACCTACTGCAAACACGCCTGGAGAGAGATTCATACCTTGTGTATTTTCGAGAGGTGTTAGTGTGGAAATAAGTAGTTTCCATTTATAAACTTTAGTGTTTGAGTTTATTTTTCAGATTCGTTTCCAGGAAGGAAGTGAAGGGAATTCAAGAAAAAAGCATTCAATCAATGTGACGTACGAAATCGTTATCTATAAAAGAACGAACAATTTCTTCTTTCATGCTGGTGGAGAGGAATGAGCAGCCAACTCATCTTTTGAGTCTTTGGCCGATTGTATGATGATCCGACATATATATTTGTATATTCAATTAGAATTTTAGATTTAGGTTAACCATTGAAAGTAATAATAAATGTGTTCCAGTTTATTTGTGTACGTCATGATTTTTAGCAAACTCTGCTTTGTGAGTTAAATACACAGTTAGCAGAACTATTTACTTGCGTTCAATTACAAATCAAACAACGCATGTGGTTTCAATACGACGGGACTCCTGATTACGCTCGGGACGTCGAGTGCGCTTCAATCCGAAATATTTGTAAGAAAAGAATCGTTAGCACTGGAGGGGGAGTACTGTGGTGACCTGCCTACTACAACTCAACGCTGCCAGCCTCGTATCCCATAGCAACGAGGAACACAAAAAAAAGAATACTAATGTTTTCTTTCTGCTGTATTCATTTGGAGGTAAGCATATATTTGTATCAATTCGATATTTGCATTTATACTTTGCATGTAATATTTACATTGGGCAACAAATTGATTTATTTAATAAATTAGACTTAAATGTACATGCATGGTTTTATTATTAGTCCCAGAGTTTTGTACTTATTTTCTATTTTAAAAATTAAACGTAATTTTTATCATTGCCTATCAAAAATGTAAAAAAAATTTAAACGATCAAAATTTGGACTTAGGTGGTGTTTTCGCTAATCCCTGCACTAATGTTGTCGGTTGTAAGTCAGAGTAGTTCTCGTGATGGGGGTCTTACCGTTCTATTTCATTTTGTTAAAAATACTTTTCTTCATTTTATAGGTTTTTCATTCCAATCTCCGCCTATCTTGTTTCCCATCATTTCGTGACACAGAATGTTTCGTTCTCTAGCGATTTACGACCAAGAAATTGTATGGTGATTCGTGCTTGTATAGTTGTGTTCTATCACCTTCTAACCTATAACCCTCACATTGTATATACATGCGTAATAGAAAAAAATAATCGGTCTATTCACACCGACTCCCTGGGAATCAATATTTATTTTTGATTGCTTTTTTGTTATTTCAATGCAGTTTAAGAAATTTCAGCATTTTGAATATGATGTTATGATACGCGATTTTTGATTTATCACTTTTTTCATACTCTCAAATCGCGACAGTTTCATTGAAAAACCTACTTCGTTTTTTTTTTGTATCTATTTCTGGTCATTTTCAAAAATAGGTACAAAAAAATGGTTTAAGGTCAAAATATCACATTTAACAAATCACTTTTTTTTACCCACAATGCACCGAATCGACGCTTTCATATTTCCTTAGCAGCACATCTTGATTGTTTTTGTCCATTCTATTTCATTTCATTTCCGATATTTTGATGTATGATTGGATATTATTACGAGACGTAATTTGGAATTTGAGTGTTTAAATTGACATTTCTTTTCGGCCATTTCCACATGATTTTTCGAAATTTGATATCTATATATAAATTTGAGAAATAAGGGGCAAATTATTAACTTGGCAGCATTTTTTCTTAAATAAATCTTTTTATAAAGTTGTAATTTTTTTAAAAATTGTCACTTTTGAGCTAATTTTTTTTTGTAAAAATAATAGCCATAGTCGCCTTACCTCGAACTTAGTAGCAAATAGTCCTATTTTAGTTGCTATCAGTGACTTTATCTTCCCTCTTACGAAACTAAAGGCCAAAACCTGAAATAGCAAAGAAAATAGTTAGAAATCAAATATTATATTAAGTATTTCAAAGCGCACAATTTTGAAAATTCCCTAAAAAATTGAGAAAGAGGGTAACGCGAAAGAGATATAGATTAAGTTCTCACTATATTTTGATTAGAATTTTCGATTTTTGCCTGACAGGCTAACAAAAATTTGGTGGGTTAACGATTTCCTATAAGAGTCTAACGTTAGCAGGGAAAATTCTAATTTTTAGTTTTTTGGTTAAAAATAAGTTTAAACTATTTCCATTTTTTTGCGGTCTGGAATAACTATTAAGAAACAAAGAGCTATTGTATAGAGGCGAATCTTAATAGTGTTTTCCAGTTAAAAAAAATAAGCTTAAACTTTATTTGGCCATAATTACTTTTTGGTGGAAAAGTTAACGATTTTTTTTGGGGGGGGGGGCAAAATTCAGACAAGTCTTTTTACTTGTTTTGTAGCCTATTCTTGGTGGATGTTCCAACGCAGGATTAAAAAGAATTTTTTTTATGGGTTAAGGTTTAGAGGGTCGAGTTCGAGCTTGTTTGCAGGTTATAAAGTAGCTAATATTTGTCTTAATCATTATTTTTTTAGAAAGTGGGGTAACGATTTCCGAGTATGGATTAACAGCGGTAGAATGGAAATGTTTCGTTTCTTGGTAAAATTTCAGTCAACTTTCTTCGTTGTAATGTTTATGTGGGCTAAAGATTTTCCTAATTGGGTGTATAATTCGGCACTGGTTTAATATTTTAAATAAAAAAAGCATGCTTTGATTAATCAAATGTGTACAAAATGCTGGTTTGGCCATTATTGTTTTTCAATAGGTTATCATCTACCGTGGAAATTTACTGTCTTAATATTAACTAAACTTTAAAGGCAACGTTAAAAGTTTCAGTTTTTAATCAATAATCAGATAAAACTTATTTTAGTTTTGAAAAGTTTAGGTGATCGAAAGTGAGCTCACGATTTCCTACAATAGGCTAACGTTTTGAGACACAAATTCTAACTTCTGATTTTTTGTTGTTGTTGAAAACCAGTTTTTGTCGTAGCCTTTTTTTGGGGGGGGGGGGAANGGGGGGGGAAGAGGGTTGGCTGAGAAAAACTCTTTAGTGGGTAAACATGAGAGGCTCAATAGGTTAATAATTCTACATTAAATTTGTAAATGTGGTTGAAAAATTAGCTGTGTTAATTCGGTGACGAATCACTTTCGTGCACAAACATGGGATTACGGAATGGTCTACGAGGAGAAAATTTGAGGTTCCTTTCAAAGTGTCATATTTTTTAAAAAAAAACTAAAAGCTATTTTGGCTCTAATTTTTATTCTGGTGGAAGTTATTTTTTTAAAGCAATTTTATACAACGGGCTAACGTTTTAGAGCATAACTCAAACTTGTGGTGCCGTGGACAAAAATTCAGTAAGATTTTTTTAGGCATACAATTTTTCGGCGCAGGGGCCAAATTAAAATTTTGGAGAAACGGTTTGATGGGTTAACGATATCTTATACTAAGCTTAACATTTTGAAGAGTAATTCATTCGTGATTTCTGGGTCAGAAATGAGCTAAAACTAATTTTGGATATAAAACTTTTTAGCGGTCAGGCAAACGGTATTTTTTAATGGGATAACGTGCTTTTACGATTTACTATAAAATGGACTGACCTTTAGAGGCAAAATCCAAACTTGTGGTTTCTAGGTCAAAAATTAGCTTAGCCCCTTCCCTTTCTTTCCCGTCAAAATCAAGGAGTCAGCTTTCGTCTCGCACTTCTCGTGCCCGTGATACTTCCGGGTTTTACTATACTTATTTATTTTTTGTAGTTTTTCAGGCAGAAGGGATAAAAAAAAAGATAAGCAAAAATAAATAAAGTTTTTAGTATTATTTGCATCGCCAGTAAAAAAACATAAAATTCTGTTGTTGTTAATTCTAATGCTACTGGCTAATACCAACAGGCCGGCGTGGTGAAACTAAGCGAATTTTAGGCAGAGGTGCGTTTCCTGTGCTTCAGTGACGCCATTTATGGCCAAATATACGAATTCAATCACACACACACATCACACCCCAATTACAGAGTGGACGCATTTATTCATCCACAGGTCGCAGATTTGACCTGAACCAGAGAACGATCAATCTTCAATTCAGCACTTCCAGAGGTATGATTTGTTTTGGGAACATAGAACACTTTGTGACCAGACATATTTACCGTGCATTAGTCACCATTTACTACACGGGGAGTCTTCTGCTTGCGGTGCTCGAACTCATGACCACTTGGACATTTGCCCAACGTCCTAACAACCAGGCTATCCTGGCCCTACTTCTAAATGTTAAATATTTTCAATTCCTACTTACCATTTAGAATCAAACTTTCACACGAAAGAATTTTAAAAAAGTTCTTATGTATGTATGCGTATTAACCAGTTTACTTACAGCGCAAAATGAGAAAACAAAATTTTAATTTTTGAATAAAAATATTAATTCTCAAACCAAATTTTCTTCTGTGTTTGCAATATATCACAAATGTAACACAGTTTTGTCAAAAACAGGAATAGATAGAATTAAATAGGATTAGATTGATAAAATTAAATGGGCATAAAATAATGAAATATATTTATTGCTGAAGAAGTATATTTAATGCTAATTAAACATCAAATTATTTTATACACTGCATTGAGTACTTTATCAAAATTATGTATGATGTGAATAAAGAAAATTTATAATCTAAAAGTTACATTATCTAACTTTAGGCTCAGAAGAAAATATTGTTTCTTAATTTATTTACTTATTCCTTTCATGTACTCGCCACAGTTTTAACCAGTTTCTCATCAATATTTTTACTTCCGCAAGGTTGGCGAGAAAAAGTTTTATTTTATTTTACAACCGTCGTTGAACAGCCGACCCAATTTTGGGTTTACGACAACTAATGTTCAACTCCGTAGCCCTGTAATTTCGAACCTAATCCAGAAGACAAAGTAGCTCCTGGATTAAGTATTTAGAGAAATTTGTACTTTTCGACGGAGCTAATCCGAATTTACGCTACATGGAGAGGAAGACCACGAGAACCTTCTACTGTTAGCCTGACGACAAGGGGACTCTAACTCGTGATCGATCAGCCCCGTGGTCGGTGCAAGCCGGATGCAGAGTTCGTATTACCCAGCCCTGGCTGTGATTCGAACGCGGTTCACCTCATTGGAAGGCGAACACTCTGAACCGTCGCGGTGCATGAGTAAAGGGTTTGAAGAAAAGGTAACCCTGTGATAAACATCCTCAGTCTAAGGCTGATTGCAGAAAAGATGGTAACTGAGGCTTTCTTTAAAACCTGTATTGCTCGCTTTGGTAGGTAGGTACTTTATTTACNAACTCATGATCGATCAGCCCCGTGGTCGGTGCAAGCCGCATGCAGAGTTCGTATTACCCAGCCCTGGCTGTGATTCTAACGCGGTTCACCTCATTGGAAGGCGAACACTCTGAACCATCGCGGCGCATGAGCAAAGGTTTTGAAGAAAAGGTAACCCTGTGATAAACATCCTCAGTCTAAGGCTGATTACAGAAGAGACGGTAGCTGAGGTTTTATTTAAAACCTGTATTGCTCGCTTTGGTAGGTAGGTACTTTATTTACCTCTCACTAGAGCTTCACAATGAGCTATTGGCGACTGTCTGGAAAACTTCTCTGAGGGTGATCCGAAGACATTCCATCACAAATTTGATGGCTCTCCTGATTGGCAGCCCGACGACCTGCTCTCGAACTAGAGCACTTAAGAGTAGAACAGTTTAACGAGGACCGATACCGCACACCCTCGGTCCCTACGTAGGCAGGTCAAATGGGTCACCCACCCGCTTACTGAACGCAGCGAGTGATGCTTGAGTTCGGTGTTGTACTGGTATCTTTACGATCTGCGGGACTGCCTGGTTTAGGTAACCTTCAGTGATAACGATCGACCAGGGTCACCAGTTCGAGGGTAGACTCTTCAAAACTCTAGTATATCTCGTGGACATGAAAAGAGTTGTTCCATCCTCAAAGTAATGGAATGATAAAACAATGGCACCGACCCTTGAAAGCTGCCCTCAAGGCCTACAATGCAGACTGTGAGGAGAGTAGAAATCGACAATGCCAACCTATATTTATCAAAAGGTACCTCAAGATTGGATCGAGTTAGCAGGTCTTATATACTAATGAATTGATGTTTGATAATCGCAATGATAGTTAAGCCATACTACTCCGCCACCAGACTTTTATCAGGGATACAATTCGATGAATGGATACTACTAGGACTGTATTAAGTTTNAGGGTCCACAAAAAAAGGCCCCGCACGCCGTATGCGGCCCCCGGGCTGCCAGTTGGATAACCCTGGTCTAGAGTGTGCAGGATCACGTTGTGTGTAAAAGAAACTGAGAAGCAACAGCGCGAGGAGGACGATGACTCAGTCACAAATAAAAAGTCAACTTTTTAATGTGTACCATACATCGAAATAAGCTTGTTCATAGCACGTCAGCAGGTCATAAATATGGGAAAAGCAGAAATCGACAATGTCAACCTTCATCTATCGAAAGTACCTCAAGATTCAATCGAGTTAATATGTCTTACAGTGAATTGATGCTTAATAAACGTAGTTATAGTTATGCCACAAGACCATTGGTCAGCCTTCTTACCGGCTATTCTCTTGGGCTTTCGAGCTGTATCTGTGGAAGATCTACTTCCTTTTCAAATCAGACGATATGTTCGTTCAAAGAAAGTACGTTTTTGTGTCTGATCTCGTAACTTAAACTGAATGAATTATTCTTTGAACAAATTAATTAGCATGTTTGAAATGACCCCCTCGAATCCTTCATATTGAGACCAAGAGAGTGAAGATCCAATCATTAGATCAAAAATTATTCAGAGTGGTCCATTTTTTTTTGTACACTGTAAATCAGAATTCATGTTAATAGTTGCAGTAGTTATCCATTTGTGTTGTAGTTTGAAAAAAATTATTGAAAAATTTTAATTTTCGGTCAAAACACGT